CCGCCGCCTACTTCGGGTCAGTGCCCGCCGCGCCCCCGGCCCGCGTCCCCGGCCCGCCTGCCTCCCCTCCTCGGGCTAGAGCAGGGCCAACATTTCCCTTCCGCTGGCCCCCGCCGCGGCGGGACCTCGAACTCAGACCTTAGCCCCCGGCGGACCCCAGTCCCGGCTCGCTGTCGGAGTTCGCGCCCCGAGCTCGGTCTCTGGCTTCCCCAGCTCCGGCCCCGATCTGCTGTCCCACTGGGTCCTCTTCGCCGCCGCCCTTCCCACCCCGCCCTGTCCGAGACCTCATCCCGCCCACTCCGCCCGGCCTAGGACCCCGGCCCGAGCTCCCGGACTCTGCACACGTTTCGGACCCTGGCGCCATCCGCACGGCGCGCCCGGTCCCTGCCGGTCCAGGCGTCCCTCCCGCGCTCGGATGCCCTCTCTGGATCCTCACTCCGTGCCCTGTTTGCTCATAACCTGGTCTCCGTCCAGCCACAGTCCTCGCCCCGGGCTCTCTCTCCACCCTCTGCCTTCCCCCTGCGGAACCGAGACCCTGCGGGCTGGGTGGCTGGGCGGGGATCGCGCGGATACCAGGGGAATGCGGACCTGCGGACGGTGGGGAGTGTCAGCTGGAGATGCAGGAGGGAAACTTCCGCTAGGGAAGCCCAGCCAAATCTCAGACCTGGCGTCGGGTGAATTCTGGGGAGAATGACCAAGAGTGAGAAGAGAGGAAGGGTACATGATTGGAAAAGGAGGATCAGAGTTGGGGAGACCCCAGGGGAGGGAGCGGGAGGGAGTGGAGAGTGAACGCAGCGCAAGTTACAGGGCAATTGTCCCTCTTTCTCTGACCTAGGGACTTGGGTGGGAGGTGGGGTCGTGGGTGCAAAGGCACTCACGTGACCTCCACCCAATGCTTGCTCCAAATATGTACAGGCTGTTACTTTAATCTTGTCATTTTTTGTGATCTTCACTCCAAATCAGGGTGAGGTTTACAGCCTGCCTAAAGCAAAGGCGAGAAAACACACCAAGCCAGTGACCTGCCAGAGACTGTTCTTAAGGACCTGCCAGGGAGGGGAGTAAGGATCTGAGAAGTCCCCGCACAGGCAGAGCTAAGGGCTGTGGGCTAATTTCCGGGTCATGACCCTGGTTAAAAACGTGCTTTGGCTATGAGCAGGGGCCTCTCCTGAAATATAAGGGGGTGGGGTGGGGTAGGCAGGTCAGCCCAGACCCTAGCTCTGAACTCAGCTTGCTGGTGACCTGGGAAGACCAGTCTCTGGGCCTCAGTGACCCTTTTGTACAAAGAAGGGGCTGAACTTGATAGAACTGAGCCTCTATTTCCACCCAGAGAGCAGTGCACAAACATGTTTGTTTGACAGTGATTTCAGGCTTGAAGGCACTGCTGTCGCCCCAGCAGGCAGGGTATAATGGCGAGGGCACAGACTTTGGGTTCAATCCCCAACCCAGCTACTTGCTAGCCCTTGCTCTTGGCCAAGTCACTTAACCCCTCTGTGTCTCAGTTTCTCATCTGTAAAATGAGGATAATAGTGCCTATTTCATATGAGCACTATATGAGTTAGTACATGGAAAGCGCTTAGGATAGTATCTAGCACATAGTAAATGCTCAACTAATGCCAGTAATTGTTACTAGTGAGGAGATTAGGCATAGTAGCTTGGTATCCCAGCCCTGACAGGGGTTTCTGAGCTGGAATGGAGAGCAAGAGGACAAATGCACCTGCATCCTCTTGGACATCAGCTCATTTCCACAATTCTTTTTGGGGGTTTTGGAGTTGGGGATGGGGCGAGGGCCAGGTAGGTGAGGAGAGAGGGGCTCCAGGGGGCCTGGACCACCCTGGTTGATATGGTTGGAAGGGAAAGGAATTTGTGGCAGTGCACAGGGGTAGAATTTGAGACTTGTGAGCAGAGGAAATCAGAGGTGGGGGATGGTTGATTAGGCCTGGGTTAGGGCTGAGAGGGATCATATGAGTATGAGTATTAGAGCCACCTCTTCTTTTTATTTTTAAAGATTTTATTTACTTATTTGACAGAGAGAGACACAGCAAGAGAGGGAACACAAGCAGGGGGAGTGGAGAGGGAGAAGCAGGTTTCCTGCTGAGCAGGGAGCCCGATTCAGGGCTCGATCCCAGGACCCCCAGGATCATGACCTGAGCTGAAGGCAGATGCTTAACCATCTGAGCCACTCAGGCGTCCCTAGAGTCACCTCTTTCAGGTCATGAACCTAACTAAGCAAGGCTGACAAAATAGACTCCAGCCACCACTCCCCCCAGTCTGGGGAGCTGGACAAATACTTGGAGAATAAGCTAAAACTGGGGCCTTGGGCTGTTATGTGTTTAGTCTCAGAGAATGGACAGGATTCAGCCTGAGTTCTCACTGAGGAAGCCCTATCATGACTCAGTCAGGCCAGATTCTCCAGCTTCCCATCAGAATTTGCTCTCTGGTAGGAATCTGATATCAGTCATCCACACTATAGTGAGAATGGAAGACAATGTGTTCCTCCTTTCTCCAGGTCATTTGCACTTAAAGTCTCATTTCCGATTATAAGATGAAATGTTTGGGCATTTGGTAAAAGCAAATTCGAACATCAGGAGAGCAGGTGAAGCCAATCTTCTTGGGGTCTTTGAAATCACAGAATCATAGACTTAAGAGTTGGATGTGCCCCCGAAGCATCTCTGGTCCAACCCCCTGTTTCAAGCAGGTCATGTACGATTATTCCCATTTTTCAAATGAAGCAACCATCATCCCCAAACCACAGTAAGCTGGCAACTGTTTCTGGGGCTTTTGTACGAACCCAGAGCTGAATTCTGGTGATGCTGAAAATGACCTAATTTAGTATTGCAGTGATTTACAAATCACTTTTCTCATACAGCCTCTCTCTCTCATCTGATCCTCAGAGCCATTCTTGAGGTCTATAGGATGGTGTAAATAGTTCCCCAAGGGAGCCCGGGGGTCAGAAAAGTTCAGTGATTCACCCTATGTCACACAGCAAATCAATGGGAGAGGCAGGACAGAAACCAGGTTCTGCCCCCAGTCTGGGCTCTTTGCCCTCCAGGGAACGGTCTGCAGAGCGAATACTGTGTGATCACCCAGGGGAGCAACAGCTACAAGGAGCTGGAGGGTAAGGGGGTAGAGGGTGGCCCCCTCCCCTGCTTGGTCACTTGGTCAGGTTACTTGCCTCCAAGGTCTATAGTACCTGGAGATCCTAAGTTTCCCTAATTCTAAGGGCTGATCCTGGCCTGGAAGTCTAGGATTGCTCAAGAGCTCATGTTCTGGCTTGGATGGCTTGGGAATTCTGCAAATATTAACTGGTGCGGTGTTTTATAAATGAACATGCACTGTATTATGTGACAAGTGGAGCCCATGACAGGCCTCATCACCCAATCCAGTCTTTAAGTCATCCCAATAGCTTCATAACTCGAAGTCATTCCTGTGGATACAACTTTGTAAATACTGATTGACTTAGGCGGTGCTTTTATAATGTGTGACCTCTGCTAGTTAGGTTCCTTTCCTCTCTACAGAGGGTACAGACAAGTTTATGAAAGCACAGGCTTTGGAGTCAGCTAGACCTGAGTTTAAATCCTGGCCGTTTGTCTTGCTCGCTGTGTGGCTTTGGGCAAATGTCTTAACCTTGCTGAGCTTTAGGTGATGATAATACCTATCTTAGAGGCTGATGCGAGGCTTCACTGAGATGGTGGATGAAAGGGGCCTGATTGGGTGCCTGTCCAGGCTCACTTTTGGTGGTTGCTGGGGCTCTAACCGTCTTCTTGGCTTATGTGAAGAAAGCAAACCACCACCTTAATTGTTTTCCCTAATCAACATTACCTACAGTAAAATGCATGCGTTCTAAGTGCACAGTTGGGGTTTTAACAAATGCATACCCTCGTATAAACACCGCCACAAGTACTGCATGGGGGAACATTTCCATCAGCCCAAAGGATCCCTATGCTCCTTTGCAACCAGTCCTCCCCCACCAGCCCCAGATCATCACTTCTCTGCTTTCTGTCCTTATAGATTAGTTTGGCCCTTTGTAGAAGTTCACATAAATGGAATCATCTGGTATATAGCCTTTTGTGTCTGAATGGTTTTGCTCAAAATAATGTTTTTGAGATTCATCCACGTTGTTACATATATCAGCACATTCCTTTTTACTGCTGAACGGTATTCTACTGTATGGACGTACCACTCTATGTTTCTTTATTTACCAGCTGATAGACATTTGGATTGTTTCCAGTTTGGGGCTGTTCCAAATAAAGCTGCTATAAGCATTTGTGTACACGTACATATATGGGTATATGTTTTTATTTCTCTTGGATAAATACCTAGGACCTGACTATTGGATCATATGGTATGCCTATGTTTAACTTCATACGAAATGGCCAAATAGTATTCCAAAGTGATTGTACCATTTTACGCAGTGATGTATGAGAGTTCTAATTACTCTGTACTCTTGTCAGCTACTGGCGGTCATAATTTCAGCCCTTTTAGTGGATATGTATTGATATCTCATTGTGGTCTTAATTTGCATTTTCACACTGATGAATGGTGTGTTGAACCTTTTTAAAAAATATTTATTTATTTGAGAGAGAGAGAGAAAGAGAGCGTGTGATCAGGGGGCGGGGCAAAGGGAGAGAGAATCTTAAGCAGACTGGGTGCTGAGTGCAGAGCCTGATGAGGGGCTCCATCCATCTCACATGACCCTGAGATCAGGACCTGAGCCAAAACCAGGAGTTGGACACTTAACTGACTTTACCACCAAGGCACCCCACGTGCTGAACATTTTTGCATGTGCATGTTAGTCATCTGAGTATCTTTTTTCATTGGGCTATTCTTCTTCTTATTGAGTTGTGTTTTTTGTGTATTTTTTTTTTTTTTTTTTTATTTGAGACAGAGAGAATGAGAAAGAGAGCATATGAGAGGGGGGAGGGTCAGAGGGAGAAGCAGACTCCCTGCCGA